GTAAAGTGCAGTAGGGAAGACGATAGAGTTCAGTAGTCTGATCTTGACCCTAACATTCAGGGAGGTCGAGTTCCAAATAGGTTGGAGACGTCGCACAACACCAACCGCCTTCCCTACTCTGGCGTCTACATCCTGATCAGAGACCCCGTCATTCAAGATATGTAAAATTCTCCACCTCTTCAGCACGTTGTTGGTCGATCATGACAGGAATGCGGGCACGTGCATAGCCAACTCGGAGTACCTCGGTTTTTTTGGCGCTGATTCTTAATCCAACTTTCGTCGCCTCCCTCTGCAGGGTCAACTTTTGGAGGTCTTCCTGAGTCGAGCCCAGCATCGATGTCATCTGCGAAGTCAGTGAGATTATGCGCTTCGTGCAGGGCACACCGATGCCAGCTTGGTCAACTGATCGTTGCATCGTCGCAATTACCAACAGGAAGCAAAAAAAAAAAGTTAAAATCAGCCTTTATAGCCTCATCAAGGTTGATGTTCATGTTCACAGTGGGTTTGTGAGTCATTCGCTGTTTATTAGTTGTATAAAACATATTTGCTGCTATAATATCGCATTTCTGGGAGCTGGATATTCAGACACCTTATCAATAATCCATCGTTCGTCTGCCGAGGTGAATATGCTGCTGCTCCTGGACCAGCAGTCAGCTCTTATTACAGAGGATATTAGATGCTGCATTCAGCCTTCTGTAAATATTACCAGTGAAATGCAACACAGACACTTGTTAAACGCATTTTCTTCCAGGTATAACGTTTTGTGGTGTTTTTAAAAAATAAACTAGACATCTAACTGGGACTACCTTTGCAAAATCTTTGTTTGCAACACTGCATCAGTCAGTCTGAAAAGTAATTGGTTTAGCTGCAATAAGCTACTGTTTGTTTTCTCTGAGGCAGAAACCCATTAATGGAACAAAACTGCTCACAAATTAACATGCAAACTAAGCAGAGACTGTCGTCTTCAGTAGATAAACAGATTATGCATGTTCTTGGAAGAGACTTCGCAAGGTCATACCTGACTGCAGTGGGCTTGTTTATCTGGGATGGATTCATTTTCCATGATGTGCAGCTTGAAAGGATTTAGCTCAGAGGTCTTTAACTTGACCTTGAATGTTTCCAGAGTACTAATGCCCTGTGAATCTGACAGCTTTGTGATATACTTGACATCAACACGTGAAGCAGCTCTCTGTGAGGACACTGTTTAGTTTAACTATGATGTCACAACCATGGAAACTGTGCGTGTGCATTGACTGCGTGCATGCAGCACGTCACGTTTCACACTCGTTCTCTCCGGGCGCTCCAGCTTTCTCCCACAGACGTTAGACGGGTTCGATGACTGGTGATTATAAATTGCTGTAGGCGTGAATGCAAGTGTGAGGGACGTCTTTCTGTCTGTGCTGGCCCTCAGATTGGTGATCTGCCTCACCTCTCGTCCTATGGTAGCTTGGATAGGCTCCAGCCCCTCCCCAAATTCATCCTGTACTTGGACTGTTACCTCAGAGCAACATTGAACTTGATCCTGCTGGGAGGAGCTTTCCGTCACCACATACTCTTTACTGTAATCCCAAACCGTGGTCACAAATCCCCTTCTGAGGCAGCAGCCCCTCACTTTTTTATCCTTATGTCACATTCCTCACCTGGGCCACAGTCCTCCCCCTCTGACCCTGGACAAAGAAGACTGAGGTGGGGGGAATGGGGGTGTTGGATCAGTGTGAAGTTCAATGGTGAATTAGGCAGACTGGGGTCATATAGGTGGATTGCATGACAGAAAAGTCGTCTTTGTTACTTTTTGTGTCCAAAAATAAACTTTATGGCAGAGAAAATGTAAATCTTTAACACTGGTCTCACTTATGCTTGTGAATCTTATTCTTCATCCCAAGCCCAACTCAGTGCAGTGGTGTTGTCTGTGAAGTCTCACCTCAGTCTCTGCCACATGAGAAACAAAGGACTTACACCTTCTGTGCAGCAGCAAGCTTAGACGAAAACACCCCCGAGTGTCTGTC